TTTGGAAAAGGACAAAGGTATAGATAATTAAAGGACAAAAGTATACCAGTGTTTCAATTTTGAGTAATTCAGTGAAGCTAAGACATAAGGTACCCATTGGAGCTTATTTCTGTCATTCTTAGCAGTAGTTATTGTGTTCCTTTCAGATGTAGTACATTGTCCTGTTTTAGGGCTATGTAGTCTGCATTAGAAATCTTTTTTTTTTTTTTTTTTTTTTGAGATAGCATCTCATTATATAGTCCAGGATGACCTAGAAGTCACAGCAATCCTTGCCTCAACCTCATGAGTGCTGGGATTCCAGGTGTGGGCCGCCATGCTCAGCTGCATTTGAAATCTTGTCACAAACACTAGAATTCTTTCTTGCCAGCATCAGCAACAACAAAGGTGTCTTAGTTTTTAACTCTCAGTAGCATTTGGGGTCTGAGTGACTTATGCCTGTGGGATGCTTTTATTAAAATGAGAAAGGGAAGCAGGTATTCAGGAGTGATTTCTATGTGTGGGAGAAGTGGTTTCATGCCCATGGGAGCGGTTTGTGGTATTAGGATGCCTCGTGTGCCTCCTGCAGTGTCTTCCTTCTTACTAGATGCTCCATATCAAGAAACAGAGTGTCCTGAGTGTGGCTGCAGAAGGAGCTAATGTGTGTCGCCATGGGAAACTGTGTTGGCTTCAGGTAAGAGAATTTAATCTTTTATTTATGCATGTATTTGGTACAGGGTCTCACTGTGCAGCTCAGACTTGTAATGATCCTTCTGCCTCAGCCTCCCCAGTGCTGGGATTATAGGTGCATGCCACCACGCCTAGTTTTGGTGGTCGGCATAGGGTATTAGGAATTGAACCCTGGTCCTTGCACTTGCCAGGCAGGTGTTTAGACTGCTAAGCTATCATTTTGGAATACTTACTAGTGATAGTTGATACAGTTTAAGCATGTTATGAATATATGTTTACAATAGAGAATAATGATGTCTGTTTGGAGGAATAATTTGTGCATGCATGTAACAGCAGGATCGTATTTTTTCCTTGTCCTTCTATTCTCTCTCTTGTCCCTTTCCCTAGTGTGAGCCTCATCTCCAGGAGTCTACGTTGCTTCTTAGCATCTCTCCATTCTTCTTTTCTTTTCTTTTCTTTCCTTTTTTTTTTTTTTATTTTTAGGACAGGGTCTGCAGGGTCTCACTGCATAGATCATACTTGTAGTGATCCTGTTTACAGCTTGCCAAGAGTTGGGATTACAGGCATGCACCACCATGCCCAGTCTCAGTTGCTGTCTCAGCATGCCCCAGGGGTGGGGCTGGCATGGCAGCCCCAGGGATCAATCTCCCAGCCCTTGCATCTGCCTAAACAGGCGTTTTAATCCACTGAGCTATTTGGCCGGCCCTTGTTTTTAGTTTTTTGAGGAATCTCTATACTGCTTTCCATAGTAGTAGTCCTAGTTTACATTCCCACCAATAAGGTCAAGGGTTCCTTCTACCCTCTGTCCACATCAGCATTTATTGCCTTTTGTATTCTACCTATTCTGGCCATTATAAAATAAGATGGAATCTCAGAATTATTTTGATTTGTATTAATTGATTTAT